AAATACAACTTTAACTTTTCAAAAGGGATTGGAATCATTTCAGGCATTTCGTAATAGATACTCCATACCATAACTTGGCCGCCTCCTGTAGATCAACTTATCAACTATATAGTTTACCTTGCAGATTATGGCACATTCAATCGTACGATGCTATAATAGCGCCATTAGCTATTAACTTCAAATACATTCCCAGACTGATACTACTAAAGCATTCATTGTTAAGAAAGTGCTAGAAGGCTTGCGTAGTTTTAAGCCCACTAAAGACACTCGTTCCCCAATTAAAGTTCCTTCGCTTAATCAAGTAACATGTCTCCCATCAGTTTGTTCAAACTCATATGAAACAACATTGTTTACTCTGGCCTTTCACTTAGCATTTTTGCCATTCTTAGAATCAGTGAGTTCACATGCAGATTCAACCAAATAAAAATCATCTCTATCGAGGACGTAAAGTTACAGCAAACTCATTAGGGGTTCAAAAACTGATCAGCATACAAAAGGATCCATCTTACACATTTCATTGTACTTAAAAACATATACATTATTTAAAATATTTCATTGCTACTTGTCAGTTAAGCCCAACATTCCATGTCCATTTTTATTCACCTTGGTGGTAAGCCATTGACTTCATACCAATTTACTCCAATGCTACAAAACACTATTCAATTTATTGGCTTGGACACAAAGGCATTTAATTAAGTCTCATTCATTTAGAATTGGGTGTGCAACACATTTGTATGCATCGGGTGTATCTGAAGATGATGTAAAGATTTAAGGTAGATGGAAGTCCAATGCCGTTCAAACCTACATCCGATTATAGTCATAGTTGTAAAAATTTGGGGCGGGCACTTGGCAACATGTTTCTTCTGTTTATTAACAGTATCCTTAGTTTGCAGGTGCTCCCGGCATGGTATGGATTAATGGATCATCTTTGATATATCATGCTAAAAACCACACATTCATCAATTTCGGTAATGAGCGTTTGAACCTAGAACAACACAACATCCATATCAGATGCTTTGGTCAAAGAGGAATGCCCTGGAAGCAGGTCGAACCAAAGAGTCCATGTCTGGTTTCACAATATGGGAGGCCACACGTCATAATGATTCATTGTGGATGTAATAGTCTCGGTACCTTGTCCCTGCGCCGACAAGAGAAGTTTATGGAATTGACTCTATCTTAGTTACACTTTATGTTGTACCGAGTTGTAAATTTATTTAGTCACAAATACTGTCAAGAAATTATTATAGGTACATGTTTTCACATGATGCAGCAGAGAGGGCTCGTGTTAGGATAAATAGCTCATTATCTCGGTTCATTACAACACGGGGTGGGGTGGGGGTATTTTTTCTACCCAGATATTCAACAGTTTTCATCAAAACTGTATCCAGACGGTGTTCACCTTTCTGACATAGCACAGTCTGTTTTTCTTAATATCAAGGCGGCTTGTTCAAAATAATTTGCCAAAATTCGCAGCGCTACCCACCATTGCCCTTCTAAATTTTAATGCATGAGATATTGTAAATGTTATAGCACTTTAATTGGAAAATAATGTAAAATTCTCTTGTTCTACGGTATACCGTATATAACAAACAGCATTTTTTGGTGTACCACTGTAATTAATAGCAGTTTGGTCATGGCATGGGCAAAATTTGTCCGCATGGGGCGGACATCTTATCATGTCCAGCTTAATTAGCTGTTATGTGAAGACATATGGACCAATTTTGCTCGAAGCCGGCTGCTGATCCTGTTATCTTCCAGGGTCAGTGGCCAATAATTGGGCTTCTGTCATAGTATCATTGTTCTATGAACGTTCTACATCATTCACTGTTGAGAAAGTCGATGTCTCGTAGATCATTGTCTTTGTAATACAATGTTACCTGCTCGTTGCAATTCAGTTATCATTGTATATCATATTCAATATTCACCTTGCGTGCATCATTGTATTGATGATTCATTTTGACTATTAATTAATAAAGCCATGATAGAAACTGCCAATCATTGTTAATCTATTTTGTCGACATAATCAGACTTAACTCGAATACTTAGTACGAGTTAAGTCCCGTTATGGAAACAAAACGAGGTATGGGCCAGGAAAGATAACTCACTCAAATTTACATACTTCTTTTACCCACATCCATTACGCATACGCATTTCACTCTTCCTTTTCCATCTTCCGTTATCCTTTGAAGCTCAGCAACCCACCCATCCTCCCAATTTACCAGATTTTAATAAATTGTTCTTTTGTTTTGACAAGTTGCTGCTGTCTTTTATTTTCTTTTTCGGCCAACATCTATACCTTTGGCTACCAAATGAAGAATACGTTAGCCTCATGGCTTTACTTAGGTTTCGTTCCACTGCTGTGTGCATGGACGTCTTACAGGCTGAATTCTACACAAAGGGCGAATCGAATTTTGCTCGAAGCCCGCTGCTGATCCTGTTATCTTCCAGGGTTCGTGGCCAATAATTGGGCTTCTGTCATTGAATCATTGTTCTATGAACTTTCTACATCATTCACTGTTGAGAAAGTCGATGTAGATCATTGTCTTTGTAATACATTGTTACCTGCTCCTTGCAATTCAGTTATCATTGCATATCATTGTACCCATTGTTCATTGTGTAGCAATTATTCAATATTCACCTTGTGTGCATCATTGTATTGATGATTCATATTGACTATTAATTAATAAAGCCAAAACAAAATATAACAATTTTTTATCCTTACATTTTTGTATTATACAAGTAGTATATATCAATCTTCTTGATATTTTGTAAAAATATCTCTTCTTTAAGGAGCTAGAAAAACATACTTCGCCAAGGTATTTAAGATATTTGATCCTCCTTATTGAAATAAGTTTTTCGTTTTTCCCAAAAAGAAGAGATATTTTGATATTTGACAGCTTTTTCTAATATCATTATACAGGTCACAATATTCGATAAAGTGGACTTCATTTTCAATACAAAGAATACCTTTAGTTTTTAGACAAAATTTACATACTTCATTCCTCGGGATAATTCTACACTCGATCGTCACATTCTATTTCCAATTCATGACTGAATACTCTTAGTTATATAATTGTCTGGAATGGAGAGTGGAGCTGAAATTTTTTTTAATCAAAACATGCATAGAGCTTTAAGTAATGCATTTGATTGGAACTTTTGTTTGAATTGAACAAACACAGAAAAGAAAACAGATCCAAAGGTATATATTAATTTCTAGTTGCAGACATTGAAAATAACTTTACAAAGAATTGCATGTACAATGGATATTAATGTAAATTGTAACCACAAGTAGATCTATCTACGATTTAAAGTGAAAGATTTAGCAGCCAAATCTGCTTTATAAATATTCAATAGTTGATGAAACAAGTTGATGAAACAAGAATATCAGCAGTCTCGTTTAAAGTCATCATTTCGTAAGTTCTATGATCGATACAATGACCTTGTCGGCAAATACAATCTTTCATTAAGTCAAATGCTGACTGACTTTTTCCATACTAATTGTTAGGCCATTATTTACACACTGAATTGTCGACAGATTTTCCCGTTATTTCCCGATCTTGACAATGAGCACACGGCGGGTGTGGCCGGTCGACAGGGGATACTCACTCCTCCATGCCACATAATCCCACTTCTGATGTCTTAGATGTCCTTGTTTGCTCTGCTCTTATTTTGTAATGTTTAATGGACTTTTGAGCTCGAATACTGTTCGTTATCTCCACATATTTCATTTCAAGCCAGATAAGGAAATTTCTGAATTTTTGGCACTAAATGAAAATATTTCTTTAAATTTTAACAAGTTCATCACAAGTTCAGGGAATTCGTTTTTGAATCATCTTGTTTTCTTTCCGATTACAGTATATTCTTTTAAGTGGAAGTCATTTTTTCATTCTGTATGATCAATAAATTATGTGTTTTCTGTTTTAAAATAATCATTGTACATAGAAGATCAATCATTGCTGTTTGCTTAATAATCCATATTAATTTCTTTTGTTCAGTAACAGTCCAATTTTTAAGGAATTTCAGAACTGAGACAGTCTGATTTTAAACTTTATGTCTGACTGCCTCACTAACATCGGACTGCCACAGGAAAATTTTTAGACTGCAAGAACAAAGGAATGACACTGCAATAATGCTTTAGTGTTCATTATCTTCATATTTTTTTCAAAGGCAATTACACTTTGTAATTGATGTATTGGCTGGATATATTTGTTACATAGTTTTCGAGTTAGATTTCATTAACATTTTACTTTCTGCTTAAAAGAGAAAATACGTTATATTAACTTACAAATTAACATCGATGACAGTTTTTGTTGTTTATTATGTTTAATGCTCACAATGTAAAGAAAAATATTTTCCGAGAAGGCAACAATAAAATCAATTTAAAAGTCGTATGGGATCTGATACAGCATTAGAAATAAAAAGATGTTAAAAAAGTGATATTTTATGAAATAAATCAATTATACTTTGTCAGGCTGAAATTCTCACGAAAGGAAATATATTTATAGATTTATTAGATCTTAAGGGCTAGAACAAGGAGTTAATAAGTGGAGGTAGAATAGGTCGATGTGGGGGGAAATGAATTAACAGTTTTAATGGCTTACAATTAATCATTACATCATGGAACCAGAGCACAATGATTCTTGATGACAATAATTCTAATACGGTGCTGATATAATAATTCAATGTTTTATTATCAGTCTGTTTGGATTGTGTGTCTGTCTTGGTTTTGACAACAAGTCAAGCTATTTAATATTAAAAATTATTCTAAACGCATGCGTATTCAATCCATTGGAAATATGAATATTTATTTCTGAATTTAAAATAATATATGTTTACTGTCAATTTTCAATCCCAATTAAAAAAGCTACACACTTTTTCGGAAGTAAAGATAAATATTAAGAGAACTAGAGGATCTTTTGCTTTCTACGTGTAGAACAAAACGTTTCCAAAATGAATCTGTTTAGCATGTTGAAGATCCAAATGGTTTTGCTGGTTTTATTTGTGATAGTAAACGCTTTTGTCTTTGACCAAGAGAGATGGACAGTGATAGATGCTATGAATGACATATATACAGATGTGTCTGTTCTGTTGTACCTACCAAACGTTATCTGTCCTGAATGTGCCCTTAGGACGATGAATGCGGGTGGAGTATCTTTCTCTTATCATTTTGTTAATCGGGCGTGTTTGATTTACAATACCTGTCATTTTAGAAAGCCTCCGATATCAAAAACCTTGGAGCCAAGTGAGGGATGGAGACACTTCTGTTCAAGTAAGCAAACAAAAATTTCCGTCTTGTACGAACATTAATTTTTAGGGGATTATAAATATCTGTACGAATGCTAGTCTCCGTGACTTTGTTTTGAAAAAAATAAATTGAGAGTGAATGTTTACTTTGTTTTGAAAAATATGAATAGACTGTGAATGTGGTTTTTATTTCAAAAAATTCTTACTTTTATGGTTCTTTTTTTCAGATATAAATGTAACTTCTAGAAATGGTGAAACTTGGCTTGACTTAGGTACTCTTTTAGTGAGAAGAAATTCAATTCGTTTTGACGTGAAAGCACGCAATGATGTGTATTTTGGGCTCTCCTCTCAAAACACATCAACTGGGTCTGGTTATTTGGTTCTATTAGGAGGATGGAACGATAGAGCGTCTTGTCTGAGAGACGGATTTGTTTATGGAAGTACCTGTTTCTCGACGTATCATGGATCTGTTCTCAGTGACACACAATACACAAAGTATTGGGTCACCTGGATGTTTGGTCGCATTAGAGTAGGATTCGGGGAAACGATTGGTAATAGAACATTCATAGATCATACATTTCCTCATGTATATCCAGTGAATAACCTGTTGCTTAGCAGCTCAGAAGCTGGGTGGATCATTTACCTGTAAAATGCTAGTGTTGAAGAGGTAACTCATGAATTGTATCTAAACATGTCTTCTTCTTTTTTATCTGTGTGCAACTTTGAATTCATTTGTGTTATTACCTCTCACCTGCGGAGGCAATGAAGGAAAGGATCTTGTCCATTAAGAATACTTTAGTCAGTCCTGCGTGAGTGTTTCCACGTCGTCTTTTAATTTTACTAAAAATTATTCTGGATTTGAATTTTCTTCAACTAAAATATCATTTGTAACTATTTTTAATAAGAATAAATTTATACAATATCCATTGATGTCAAGCGTATATTAATTATTTTTTAGAGATTGAGTGTGCACACAACTTATCTGAAGTTTGCATATGTTACTGTCAACAAGCAACGGAAATGATTCGTTCCCAATTTATTGCAATGGCAATATTTTAAAATGTCGTTGCTCGACGACCTTGCCCTTTGAGATATTACCTTGAGTCAAGAGAAAAACGCACTATGGGTCATTGGCAACAATTTACTAAATTTTTAATTTAGGCTAGACTTCATCCTACGCATGTGAGTTAAGGCGAGGTATAGGCGTTTCTATGCAAATGAGCTAATAAAAACACATAAGAGGTATATTTACTATTCATAGAAAGTTCTGATTTATTTTCTTATGCATACTTAGTACCCACCGTATGTTTTAGAAAGTACACATCATGACGTCATATTATGAAGTCATTGTTCTTATTTACTAGAGCTAATAAAACACATCAACAAAACGACTTTGGCGCAAGGGATTACCGTATTTAATTTTACATAAAAATTGTATTATGCTTAGAAGAATATTCTATAGATTAATAAAACTGCTGCACAAATCCTAGGCATTTTCTCATTTGATCGGAATTTGAGGAAACTTATACCGGACTTTACATATTTACCCTGATTCAACTTAAAACTTTACAAACAGAAATTATACAACTGAGCTGTTGATATTTGTGCAGCAATATTAGCAATCTTTGGAATATTTTGCTTCTAAATATACCTTATCTCAGTTTAATAAAGTAGAGCATGCCCTTGCGCCGAAGCATTTTTGTTTATGTCCATTATAATCTTGTGTAGTAAAGAACAATGATGTCATAATATGACGTCATAATGTATACTGGCTATCTCATGTTGTGGGTACCAAGTTTGCATTAGACAATAAGTTTTAACTTTCTCTGTATGATAGATATAGTCCTTAGGCATTTTAATTAGTTTATGTGCATAGAAATGCCTATACCTAGCCTTAACTCACCTGCGTAATAATTAATGAAATGTTGCTTAGTAATCTTGACCTATTATATATGGCCTTGAATTAGATTTTAAAAGTTTTTTTTAATACACAGCTTTAGCTGTTGTCTTTAACAAGAATTTTAATGAAGAATTCAGAAATGCCTTCTTTTGTTAAGATATTCACTGAAGAGAAATGGAGGTGATGTGTTACTAATATAGCTTGTGTATAACATAAATTTGAGGTGCCGTAAAAGTCAATGTTCAACTAGATAAAAGAAATCCTATAGCTAAATGATTTTTATACGAAACCACCACAATACTTCATCTAGGTGTAATGGAATTTTTAAAGGAATTACTGTCTAGTTTGTTGGGTATGCTAGGTCATTAACGACAGTTGGTTGATTGATTGTATGTTGTTTAACGTCCCATTCAAATATTGGAAACGTGGGATACGTTATGCATAACAAACTTAGTTCGACATGCATAAATTATGATACTTTTCCAACTGTCGTTATTGACCTGGCATAGACAACAATTTATACAGCCATCGTTATGTATAAATAATCCCACGTCTCCAACTATCGTTATTGACCCGGAATATTCAACAAACTAGACAATGATTCCTTAAATATACATTATTTGTGAAATAAAAATGTAAATATAAATCGAAAATGCTGTCTAATACAATTGAAATACACGACGCATCTCAAATTTAATTTTCATAGCCCCCGCCCACTGACGTCAGACGCAATGCATTTTTTGCACTTAACCTACCTCTAGGCGAAATTTACATTCATTTTTTAAAATATCAAGAAGTCAGCACAATAAACAGTTGGAAATGTAAATATATCTACGCCATTCTGTTGGAGCATTCATAGAATCAATTGAATACAATTTATCAATAATGACTTTTAAAATTAAGATGGTTTTTAGGAAATTGACAGTATTATTAGATTTTTTTAATTTCTATTAAGGTAATTTTATAAACTGGCATAAAAACATGTAATTATAATGCATGATTAAATTTTCATTTTATTTTTATTAATTATGCGACCAAAAAAAAAGAGAAAAGAAAAGACAATCATATTTTTATGTATCCTGCAAAGTAGAGCGCGTCACTTAAGAATCACTTTACCCAGAATCGGTCTGTCTGTCCGCCCGCCCGACTGTCCTTCATATCTCATATTTTTGAATTGAAAGAGGTAGGCATTTTATATTCGGCTTATGTTTGCTATGACCGATTTTATTGCTGACCCCATGACCTTGAATGTAATCGTTGACCTTCTTTTCAACTAAGTAATTCATAATATCGATGTACACTTTTATATTTGAACCGTGAGATAATTAGCATGTATTCTGCTTGTCATAAGTCCTTTTGAAAACTTCCACAAAATACAGTCCACTTTACTTTGGCTTTTGACCTACTTTCAAGAACATTCGGAACCGATTATTTTACTTTTATCTTCTGAATATTAGATAGTAAGGCTTTGAAAATTAGTGCATATATTTGTGGTTAATTACAATGTTTAGTTCTGATTATAGATTAAAGAAAATAAACCACTATCGATGAAGTTTTTTTTCTTTTACGTCTTCTAATTAAGACATTACGGATTATAGTGGTTTCAGAATTCATAGACACTGAACTGTATACGGAATTTTTCCCTTTTTCCCGATCATGACAAGGAGCACACGACGGGTGTGACCGGTCGGCAGGGAAAGTCCACTCCTGTATGGCACCTGATCCCACCTCTAAATATTGAGGTCCGTGTTTGCTCTGCTCCAAATTTGTATCGTTTCATTGGACTTTCGAGATTGAATACTGTTCGTTATCTTCATATTTTATGAATTCTTTTGAGTGTATGAACAAGAAGTCTCTGGCGAGACTGTAGCCCTACAAGTTTTTACTAATGATAGTTGAAGAGAAAAAATGCACTTTTTTAGAATTACATGAGCAGAATTATGTATTCTGATGTTTCCTAAACTTGTATCAACTTTTGATCAATCAGAGGAAAAGAAGAGGATCATGAGTATTTTTGTTTTTAGCACCCATGGTAACACTGTTCATCAAAGTCAAAACCCTGCAAATAATTTGTTTGCATTATTTGTTTTTGTTTATTTACGAAGTTCTACTAAAATCGGATTAAACCTGTGCGAGAAGCAGCGTTTTGAAAGAATTTCACGGAAATATTCTTAATCTAGAAACCTTGCAACACCGTTCATGGAAAATACAAAACGACTCATAAAATGAAGTATCTTTATGTATTCTATTTTTGTCCCATGATTTACATTTTCAAGAAATTTTTATTTTTTAGTAACCAAGGCAGAATTGTTATTCAAAGTCGATAAAGAGAATTTTTGTATCTTGGTGTAGTCAGCTTCTAAACCAAGTTCAAATGGAATTGGACAAAATCTGTAGGAGTAAAATTTTGAACAAGAGGCGAAATGGCCTGAACGGTCACCTGAGTATAATACAACTATGTAATGAATCTAAGGATATAATATCACAAAATAAACCGAAACTCAAAAAAGAAAAAAAGGATGAGCATGATCAAGAATCAACAAAATAATTTGGTAATCAACAACAACTCAAAAACTTGCCTGTATAAGCCAAGATCACCAATCATAACATTAGTGCTGTAGCATAAAATTCAATATTCACAAAATACACCCAGCACAAACCCAACGCCATAATGGTCTCTCTTGGTCTTTAATTAATATTTAATGTACATATGTATAAGGTATTTTGTCTCATTTTTATTCATCCACTATTTACAAGTCTACCTGACTATTAAAAACAATGAAAGTACTTTTTATATCATAATTATATCAAACGTCTTTTCTGATTCATCTATTGATACATTACATATATATATGATTGCGCCCATGGGAAAAGGGCCCTTATGGCAATTTTTACACATTTTAAGTTTTTCATGGATATTAATAGAGCAAGGTTAGAAGTTGCCAAATCTGAATTTTTATGGCCCTACGTCAACTCTAAGTAGGGTTTTTCTTCATTTATATAAATGATACTTGAACAGGTAAACAATGACGTCATGTTACTTTCGCACCAACGTCAAAAGTTTTCAGAGTGAACATGACTTTCACTTTGCATTGTAATGTTACTACGGTAATAAATGTATGTTATTGAGCATTTCCAGAAATATTTTTGAGTCTTTGTCTCTTTTAATAATGTATAATACAATAAATAGTTGTATTAACTATTATCCATCATGCAGTGGTGTATAGAATTATGAGTGTTTGTTCGTTTGTTTGTTTTACATTTCACTATGCTGGAATGTCAGGAAAACCCGAGAAGCAAGCGGCTTCTGTTCAATATCAATTTATTCTCTCAAAACCAAAGTATTTATCTCGTATAATAATCGTTTGAGAAACCTGTAGAATTCATTCGAAAATCATCTCATTTCCTCTCGATAGGACAAGATGTCATTTTTTTTTGGGGGGGGGGGGTTGAATCCAGTATAAACGATATCTCTTTCAAAATGTGAAGTTAAAAAATATTTCAAAAAAAATTCTCGGAACAACAATAAAATAGATGCTGCTGGGTAGTGAAAATTTGTTGCTTTTTTGTTTTTGTTTTCTAAATATAATTAGACAGAAAATTTGTGAAATGTAGTGAGTTACTGTATACGCTGTACAACAATTTAAGGACATTAAGTTGATACACTGGACTTCTGCCCGTATGTGGTAACAAAACTTCTTTTTTTTAAATTGAAATGATACACATTTTTTCAGTCACAGCAAGTAAAATTTTTGAATAATTAATTTTAAGTAAGCAGGTTGATAAATTATAAACAAATGGATGAATTATAATTCACATGCATTTAAAATGAAAGGAACAGATCCAGGATGACCAGTGGTTGGATTGTGTGTGTGGGGGGGGGGGGGAGGGGTTGGGGGGGGGG